CAGCTCTGTCTGTCCATCTGGTGCACTTGCTTGGGCTCCGGGGTCCTGACTTGTGCAAAGGGTTTCTGGCTCACCTCCATCTGCTCGGACTCCAGGTTTTGCCCTGTGTCCTGGGCTGGGCTGTCTACGCCTGGGAGCTGGGTCCCTCCAGCAGGAACGAGCAGGTGCCTCAGGGCCGACAGCGTTCCAGGGCTGGCTACTCCTGGAAGAGTCCGCACACTTAGAAAATCCGTCTTCCACCTCCCTGGTGCGTGTCTGTGCGTGCACCACGCAGGGGAAGTGGGGGAAGGCGTCCCTGGACACTGATTCATCAGGCGCAGAAACAAAGGAGACCGGGGGTTTTATGGGGCTGTCCCTGGTGTCCCCGGTGTTCCTGGCTGTCGATCTGAGACATTCTCTAGCATGTTAAGGTGAGTAATCTCTTATTCTACTTCCTTAAGAGCAGAACTTGGCTGAAGTTGTGATGAAGCTGTGTCCCCGGACCAGCCGCTGAGACTGCTTGTACAGTCCGCGGGATTCCCAGTGGCCTTTCCTTCCGGGCTCTTAGAATTTCGGTGGGCACAGGGCGCTCTGCCACCTGCCCCGGCAACACCCTTGGGCCCTGGTCTCAGTCGGCTGCGGGAGGGAGGCGGGCTCTCGGGGCTCCCGTGCGGAGGGCGGGAGGAGCTACGTGCCCACTGGCTCTCCCAGTCCGGCCCCTTGCTTCACGCGTGAGCTCCTTCACCGTCTTCACCCCAGGTGACTCTGTTTTTCCATTGCCAGCTTCTTCAGTTGAGTTTATTTATGCTTTTTAAGTAATAAAAAGCACTCTGCCTGTGGGTTTGCTTGCAAGCCCAGCGCGGCCACACCCCACGCGGCCGGGAGCCTGCCGTGCAACACCAGGGCCGCTTTCCCCTCGACAGAAGGCCTCTGATTTCCCAGCGCTCGGTTCCTCTGCTTTAACTTCACTACTGTCTGGTTTCAAAGGGCTGTGCTCACCAAATGTAGCCCGTGTGATTCCAGTTCTTCAGATTTTGGCAATTTCTATGCCCTCGATCAGATGATTGATTTTGTAAATGTTTCACAAACACTTACCAAAAAAGATTCATCTCTGTACCATTCAAATTCCACCCAGAGCTCTTCAGCCGCCCTGTGTCTCTGGCCAGTGGACCCACAGCAGCCCCGTGTCCATCCTGATCCAATCCGCTGAGTCCCTTTTCCGACCGCTCCACTCGACCCCCTTCTGTCCTGTAAAGTCCTAAATTCAGGTTTCATCGGCAGAGGGGAGAGCTCACAGGTGGAGACTTCTGCGAATGGAGACGTGGGGCTTCGTGTCCGTGAGCCCAGGAGTCTCTGCCGGGCGGCTCCTCACAGCAGAGGCCCCTCCAAGCCACCGTCTTCACTGCGGTGCAGCCGCTTCCTCCTTGAAGTCCAACAGGGAGCCCGCCGAGCCTGCACCCCTGAATCTGTCCAGCTGCCACCCTTCACCTGTGCCCCGCCCCCCACCTCTGTGCCCCCCCGCCCCCCCTCCTCTCTGTGCCCCCAGCCCTCCCCCCTCGGGCAGCTTCTCCAGCCCGACTGCCCCGCCCCCACTGCATCCAGCCCCCTCCCCACATCTGGCCCTGCCCTGGGAGGAGGCCCGGGTTGAGAAGCCTCTGGCCTCCCACCAAGGCCTCCCTGGCTCTCTCGTTCCTTCTCAGGCTCATCACCCGATCGCCACCCCGACCCCGACCGCACACTCCCAGCACCAGCCTCACTGACTTCCCTCCCCTGCAGAGCAGGCCGGTATCTGATCCGCTCCCACTCCGCGTCCTGGGTTCTCTCTCCCCCACCTGCCCCCGCACCTGATTCATGACACCCATCCTTCCTGTTCCCTGGCCCCAGGCCCCGGGCAGAGCCAGGAGCGGGCCTTCCTTCGTCTGTCACCCCTAGCCTGTCCAGCCCATCAGAGAGTCTCCCACAGACAGCATGGGCCTGGGCCAGACGGAGGGGCTGAGGGGACACCAGGGGACCAGGGACATCCCAGCAGACCGAGGCCTCCCAGCGGGCACTGCCCTTGCCTGTTTCCACCTGGTCCCCGCTAAGCTGCTGCCTACGATCCAAAGGACACAGGGGAAGGGTCTGAGACAGCAGAGGCCAGCACCGCCAGGGGCTCCTCAGCCACGGGCCAAGCAGCCCAGAGCTCCACCCGGACACGGGCGCCGGGCGAGGTGTCCACGACGCACACACTGAGCACCCTTCTGTGGATTAAGTGGGGTTTCCAGACGGGGCCTCACAACCGGTCCTGCCCTCGCTCAGAGCCTCCCCGCATGCAAGAGAAGCTGTCTCTCCTCGTGAGACTGGTCGTTTGTCAGCAAACTTGCAGCAGTGGGTTAAGTCACTGGGGGTGTTTACAGACCTCTGAGCTCCGGAGGGCTCCACGGAGAGGGGCCACGATCTCCCTGGAATTTCCACGTTCTGCTCGCCATAAATTTATGAACTTCTCTACTTCGAAAATTCAAACACTGCACACTGGCACCTCCCTTTGTATCAAAATCAAGAACCACGCTGCCAATCTCTATGCAGAGAGAACTTGCCCACATCACAAAGCGTCTCTGCGCCCACAGTGCTGGGTCACAGCCCCAGGAGGCGGCAGGGCAGGACCCGCCCTGCCTGGGCGCTGCCCCTCCCCCACGCAGCAGGGTGAGGGCAAACCGGGCCCTGGAGGCGGACTGAGGACCAGGGGGCCACCCAGGGGCTGCAGTCAGAGCCCTGGTGTCCCGGGATGCAAACGAAGCAGCTCAGACTTTGAGGGGAT